AACTGTCTTTCTGTGCGTATTCCTCGGTTGTGCAATCATTTTTTTGGCACATAGCCCGTCGGTGGACTTTTACCCTCCTTCCACGTCCTTCCGGCGCGAGGCTTTCCAGTACGCCCGAACACTGGGCAGCTATATCGACTGATTTTACTTACTGTTTTCCATGTACCACCCTATGTAATTTTATCACATGACTTCACCCTGAATTGGGCCGATTTGCCTGTGGGTGTTATATGGTTAATAAACAATAAACATTATGAAATCTACATTTTGGCGCGACCCCTAAACATTGACCGATTGACTCAAAAATTTGTAGGAAGCTTCCTTTTAGCAATGGGATGAAAAGTAAAGTGTGTTTGAATATGTGCTACACTTTTTGGATTTCCCTATATTAAAGTGGGACAGGCTAATACACAGACATACAAACACATATCATTGACCTTGACCTAACTTGACGTGAAATGACCACAGCCAGCAAATTAGTCGGATAGTGTGACAAAGAGCTGTTCTAGCTCGCTTGGCACTAATACGGCAGCGTCATCGGTATATGATGGGTTGGCCCGCTGCTTGTGTACCTAGGTATCTTATTCGACATCACCACAATTTTTTCTTACAAGATTTTAAGCCTTGCGGTCAAGAGCAACAGATTCTTTGGGAAGTGACGAATCCAATGATACCAATTTTACCTCATCAGGTCAGTCATTGACCTTCCAGGTCAGGTCAAACTAAAGAATGTTGCTGTTTGGGGTCACCGTTGCCCGTTGGAATATCACGTGCGCTGCTCATCATGTACCGATGACGCTGCCGTATTGTGGTGCCAAGCCAGCTAGAACCTCTTTGTCACACTATCCGACTAGGTTTTTGCTGGCTGTGGTCATTTCAGGTCAAGTTAGCTCAAGGTCAATGACATGTGTTTGTATGTCTGTGTGTGTCTGTGTGTACGAGTATACTGATGTGTGCACCGACTGTGAATGTGTCCATATTACATGAGATCATGAACTGAGAAGCTTTTGCCAAAAATACAGTCAAAGAAACTTCACGAAAGTAAATTCAGCTTGCCTAAAACGCAATATTTTTAGACGACCTAGGTTGACCTTGACCCTGACCCTGGCATCTCTACATCATTGAACAACATGTTCCATGATAGGTGGGAGGTAAGACTGACAAAAAAGGCCGAAATCAAGGTGTCAAAAGCTCACAAGACCCAACGCCAACGCAAGATATTGGGTATTTGTCATTTGGGTTATGACATTACCTGAAGAATAAGGTCATATCTCCGAAACCAAAAACCACAGAAACTTGAAATTTTCAGTGGACGCTAAAAAAGGATAGAGCAGCAGCTATACGAAATATCCGACTTCTAGCAATCAAAATGTTTAGTGCAGAGCAGAAAAAACTACCTAGGTCGGGGTGGGGGGTGTGGCAACCACTGCCCCCCCCCCCCCATGTGCGGACGAGGATTACCTAAGTAATTTGAATATCAGGAAAATAATTTATTAAATCAGGTATTCCAACAGAGTCCCGCTTTTTTATAGGTGACCTCCGATTTGTGTTGCATCTAAGTTACCCAGGGGGCCTCTTATTTGTAATTGTAGGTACAGTACAGAGAGCCTCCTACTTCGACTACTTGCACAGAGAGCCTCCTAGCGTACATACGGCTAAGCTTCTACAGGTCGAGCGCCGGTCTCTTGTACGTATGTACAGAGAGCCTCCTACTGTTACAGAGGGCCTCCTGTTTGTCTAGGGGGCCTCCTATTGGTTAACGGCGCCTCCTATTTGTCCAAGCGGCCTCCTATTCGTCTATGGGACCTCCTATTTGTCCAGGAGGCCTCCTGTTTCTCCAGAAGGTCCCCTATTTATCCAGGGGGCTTCTATTTTCCAGGGGGCCTCCTCTTTATCTAGGGGGCCTCCTACGTGTTCAGGGGCCTCCTATTTGTCCAGGGGCCTCCTATTTATCCAGGGGTCTTTTATTCGACTAGGAGTCTCATATTTGTGCAGGGGCCTCCTATTTGTCCAAGGGTCTCCTACTTGTCCCGGGGCCTCCTTTTTTTGAAGGGACTCCTTTTTGTTAAGGGAGCCTTCTATTTGTCCAGGGGGCCTCCTATTCGTACAGAGAGCCTCTAGCTCCTACTTGTCCATGGAGCCTCCTATTTGTTCAAGAGGTCCCCTATTTGTCCAGGGGGCCTCCTATTTGTCCAAGGGACCTGTTATTTTTCTAGGGGGCCTCTTTGCCCAAGAGGCCTCCTATTTGTCCAGCGTGCCTCCTACATGTTCAGGGGGCCTCCTATTTGTCCAAGGGGCCTCCTATTGGTTAAAGTAGCCTCTTATTTTCCAAGCGGCCTCCTATTTATCCAGAGGGCTCCTATTTTTAGGGGGCCTCCTCTTTATCCAGGGGGCCTCCTTGTTCAGGGGGCCTCTTAATTGTCCAGGGGCCTCCTTTTGTGAAAGGGGCCTCCTATTTGTCCAGGGGGCCTCCTTTTGTGAAAGGGGCCTCCTTTTTGTCTAGGTCTAGGACCTTCTATTTGTCCAGGGGGCCTCCTATTTTTGCAGGGGCCTCCTATTTGTACAGAGGGCCTCCTACTTGTCCATGGGGCCTCCTATTTGTCCAGGGGCCTCCTTTTGTGAAAGGGGCCTCCTGTTTGTCTAGGTCTAGGACCTCCTATTTGTCCAGGGGGCCTCCTATTTTTGCAGGGGGGCCTCCTATTTGTACAGAGGGCCTCCTACTTGTCCATGGGGCTTACTATTTGTCTAGGGGCCTCTTATTTGTCTAGGGCCTCCTATTTGTCCAGGAGGCCTCCTACTTGTCCAGAGAGCCTCCTATTTCTCCAGGGGACTTCCTGTTTTCCGGGGGCCTCCTACTTGTTCAGGGGGCCTCCTACTTGTTCAGGGGGCCTCCTACTTGTTCAGGGGGCCTCCTACTTGTTCAGGGGGCCTCCTATTTGTCCAACAGGGCCTCCGATTTGTCCAAGGGGCCTCCTATTTAAACAGAGAACCTTTTATATGAATATCAGACCTCCGTTTGCAAAGTAGCTGATGCGTCTCGGGGGCCTCCACTATTGGGGTCCCAAAATGACAATTGGGGTCCCAAATGTTCGCATTGGGGTCCCACATGGGACCTCGAAAGTATACAAAGTTACACCCATGCTTTTGTATGGCTGATCATTCAAGTTATTGCCATAGGTATAAGTGTAATTTTACTTTCGTTTATTTTCATTCCGCTCTTCTGACACTTGATGATCAGCATTTTTCATAATCAATGTAGATTATTGATGGCTTCCCGTGCTAGGCAAATCAATTGCGCGGATCTCACCGTTTGTCTAAGCGCGAATGGAGCCAACGGCGAAGGAGTGGTCTGCCTGCCGGGACCACTGATGGTCTGTCGAGTGCACTGTTGGTTCCCCGGGACTACCGACCAGGACGTCACCGAGCACAGAGTGTGGATGGGAGGAAAGGGAGAAGAGGGGAGCGGATAGAGGATGGGAGAGCAGAAGTCGGGGACGGTCGACCGTCGATGGAGCAGAAGTCGGGGAGGGTCGACCGTCGATCAATCTCCTGATTGACAGTTTTGTCAGAGGCTAATCCAATGAGCACTCGCGGCCTCTGCCGGACCCAAACGGCGCCCACACGGGCCGCGCCGCGTGGACAAAACACTAGAAGCCCACATCTCTCGATCCATCAGTGGCCGGTCGAGCGACCCAATTAGCTGGCAATTCGCACACTAATATATCCCCGCGGGAGCCGCGCCGTCCGCCGACAAGAAATCATTTCTACGCCTGGTATTTGCCTGGCTCCGTTATTACAGTCCGGAAAGTGCCTGTAAATAATTCCACGGAAAAGGCATCAGCCGTGCCACTGAGTAATATCGCGTCCAATAACAACTTTCACCGGCCCGTGTGCTATTTATTCAGGCGTGGTCTCCGACGAGAATGCAGCGAGGCAATACGTTTCCCATGTGAGCGGCAATCTGCGTCCAGTACACGCATCAGCGGAGCGGATTGTACGGCCGGGGCACCGACTAGCCAGATTCAACAAACCGAGATGAGTCTGACCGTCCACAAGAGCTCAGTGTCTGCCCGTGTCTGCGAGCTGCAGACTGTCGCTATCCATACAGTCTTCTCTTAGATGCCCCAATCCGTTGATGTCGCTGGTTTTGATAGACTCTTAGATCGGGAGAGTCACCGTCAGGCCAGCAGAATGTGACTACGATATGCCGACGGCGAGCAGTCTTTCAGAAGTTATCCCCGTCGATGCTGAGATAAGGCATAGCCGGTGTTTTTATCACATCCACCGAGCGAGCCGGAGTCCGGGGAACTCAATAATGTCCATCGAGGGGCGCTCTATGCCGCGCTCTTCGGGACCGATCGCAACATTTATTAGTTCTTCCATTTCCAATCAAATCCCCAAAGTAGCCAGCAGCAGTCATTTGGAAACAGGCTATAATGTTTCATAGCCTCTGGGATTTACCATTCGATACAGAACTTGTTCCAGCGCTGATATACGGACCGGATGGCCGGTCACCGGTTATGTATTGCGTAAAGTACCACAGTAGTTACTGTTCAGTTGTTCTCCAACTGTGCACCCTAGACGACAAACTAGCCCACGAGCCAGCGCCACTCAGCGCTGCCGTGACTGCGACCATACCAGCACCGGCTGCAATGTCGGCTATGGGTACAATTCATATCGTGCTGCGACCGGAATGACGTGAATGGCCTCCGGCTGAATTACGAGTACACGGAACCGGCCCATTGTTGCAGAGCGTTATGTAAATCCGGCCATGGAGCACGGCGGTCCTCGGACACCACTTAAAATGTCAATTTCAATGTAAACATTGCCTGCTAAATGATAATAACACGTAACTCCGGCCATGGTAATTTTTAGCTGGCTCTAAGCATCATCAGTAACTCAACTCAACCATAACCAGCACTAGCTCCGGCAAAGCACCTGCAGGCCACAACGCCAACAGTAACACCATGACCACCCACAGCGTCCCACCAGGTACTCACGTTCTTGTCGTCCGTGTTGAGTGCGTCCCACATGGAGGCCACGATCTTGCTGACCTCGCCAAAGCTGGCGTTCGGGTTCTGGCCCTTGATGGCCGCCTGGGTGTCCCGGAAGAAGAGCGCGTACGCCGACACCGGCCTGGGGAAGAGAAGGGCGAGAACAGTCAGAACGGGACAGGGGATAGTGAGAAGACGTGGAGCAGTCAGAATGGGAAAGGGAGCAGGCCACGGGACGGGGAAACACACAGGCTTCATGAGGAGGCCCAGAGAAGCAATGATTGTCAAGCGGCGGGAGATTTGATGACGAAAAGTACACAGGTGACATGGGAGTAAATTCAGTGACAAAGATCCCGGACATATTAGCCCTGTGCCGGCCGGATGACCCAGGTGGTCGGCGGAGGGCACAGCAATACCATAGGTGACGTGGGCGGGAATAACTCTACGCCAGCGAAAGGCCATACTTCACGAACATCAACAGACTCCATGATTCACTAGCTGATGCAAACTTGCAAGTTGGAGGAAGATCAATTTATTGCAGACTTTGCTAAGCGAAAGCAAAATAAACATGCAAATGGGTATTACTTTCATAATCGTCAAATGATGAAGCATAGCAACCAAGTACGCATGGCTTATCTTTTGCTGAAATCAGTAGGGGAAGAGAAACATAAACACGCAGCATAAATGTTTGACGGTCTTAAATAGCTAAGTAAACCAGGTCACTTCAAACTCTAGCTCGTTTCGACATCGCCATTGAAGCCTGCTCTGGTAACACAAACAGTCGAGTGTTACGGCTAATGGCCGGTAAGTGAATGCGGCGGGAGCACGACCTATCGGCGGCCCCATTGGCAGTCGCTCTCTTACGGCTGGTCGCCCAGATACCGACTGCCATTAACCCCCGAACACGTCAGAAAAACGGCCCAGCCGCGCGCAACATTCCCAATAACTCTTCATGTCGTAAACAGGCCATCAGCCACTAACTGGGACGCGGCCAAATCAAATCAGAGAGAGGTGCAAGGAAAGCGGCCGGAAGGCGCGCTCGCCGCTTCTCACGGGAGCTGGTCGGCGCCACCCGGGCGCAGCGCTTGCTGTGGTGTCTCTGGTTTGCTGTGGTCCTGAGATAGGTAAGTGGGAAGGGTGTCTTTGCTGCCGACTGACAGGGTGCAGAGCGGGCCGCAGGGGACTTCATCGACCCTGCTGGGAGTCAGTCCGCCATCCTCCTTCCTCCGTGCCACAGACGATAAGGCGCCGAGGCTTTCCAGTGAGTTTCCTGCAACTGTCTGTCGAATTTATCACCACCGGCCTCGGTCCTGTTTTTCATGCCCCCATCCATGCAACCGGGGACGACCATTTGTTCTCTGACTGCCCGTTCATACATCATTCAATACGGGAGTCTCTCAGCCCTAAAACATCCAATATCAGCCCCTGCTCGACAAAAAAGATCGGCGAAATCCCGCACAGAAAGCAAAACTGCATCGTAAATAATCCAAAACACAATCGCGGCCGAACTGCGCGGACGTCCCCCGTGGGTTGGCGGAGACCATTTCCATAATACGCTCGGTCGTGCCGGGCTGTGGTGAGTGGTGCGCGGACCGAACACATGCTGTCAGACAGCCAGTACCGGCGACTGGAGCCTGCAGATGACCCTACGTGGGATGTCGCGCAGTATCTCAAAGGGTGTCGGTAGACCCCAAACAGTTTCATACCACTAACCAGCTCCGCACGACGAGTATGACGCCTCGCAACAAGGGAGGCCTACTCGAATGTCTACTGTCCAATACTGCAGCTCGATACGTTTCAATTCGATGGAGCGGGAGCCTGCTGTTTAAAGGTAGTGTGCCAGCTTTCTTGGACCGTATGGAGTTAACCCGCGAGTTGCTGGGGGGGGGGGGGGGGGCGTTAAACGCCCCCACTTTTTTCGCCGGGCCATAGCATAAAAACGGCGCGGCGCAGGCGCGCCAAATTTTGGGTACCTGTAGGGAATTGATTAAAGTTTATTGTGACAAAGTTTCAAAAAAATCGGTCGGAAAATTTTTGAGATATCGAGGTTTTAGTGACGTCATGATTACTGAGTTTTCGACCAAAAACGGCATATGTTCAAAAAATCATATAAAATCACAGAATAGACATACAGACATGCCGTAAACGCCATTAGATGCCAATACCTTGAACAATCAAATGGCTATCTTCGATTATTGATTATCGTTCCGCATTTTCCAAAATCTTGAACTGAAACTTGGCAATTTCTCGTGCCTGCTTCACGACCATGATACATGCATTTCTTAAATTGAACTTTTTGAGCCAAATACGAACACATATGATAAAATGAATGTCACCATCGTATTCTACGCCCCAAATTACCTATAAAACATGTGTCACAGGCTGCGAATATCAGTTTTGATTTTCGGGGATATGTGCCTACCCAGTTGACCTGACCTTGACCCTGACCTATGCTTGACTGACCCCTATATGGAGCTGACACTCTTGTAGGCCTTATAGGGTGGATTGTGCACCGTTTTGACAGAGTTTATGGCGAGAGGCGCCCATTGCGAAGTCCTGAAGTCCATGCTACTGAAAGCCCGATTTCAGGTGTTTGACCTGACCTTGACCCGACCTGTGACCTCAAAATTCAACTTTAAAGTACTCATCTGAAGCGTCTCGTCGCGCTCTTTCGTTTGCCGCCTCGTGCGTTTCGCTGCGCCTATTGGTTCTCGAGTTATCGGCTGGGGGCGTTTAACGCCCCCCCCCCAGCAAATGGTGGGTGGCGAAATACCCCAGCAACTGCCGGGTTAATGGCCCAGATAAGGAGAACCGGATTTTTAGAACTTATCCATACCTTCAAAACTCATGGAAACGTCTTAAATTCTTCAAATTTTGAGTACCCCAGTGCGAAATTCGCCCCGACGGGTTGTCGGTCGTACCCCAACCACATTTCACACCACTATGAACAATAAATGCACACACTAAAATCGCTATTACCGATAGGCTCATCCAATCAAGTTTCGATAAACCCGTTCATCATCATCTCCTGCGGTTTCGAACACGCCTGTTAGGTGGCTTCTGATGCTCGTCGAGGTCGGAATTTCCAAATACGCGTGGTGCGTCGGGCCGCGCGCTCTGACTTCGGCCAAGAAAAATGCGTCAGCTGATCATTGTCATTTCTGCCACTTGCGTGTGGTGTAATGGGGTCATAACTTAAGAGACGGCTGTTTCATATCAATTATTTTACATAAAATCATATTTCAAACCACAAATTAATGTTCGACAGCCAAATTTAAGAAACAATACCAATACAGGCTTACAGTTTAAGGCTCGACATTGTGTTGTCTACGATTAGACAGCTGATAACTCATTCCCGTACGTCGTATGGTCGTAACACTATAATGACCTTTGCTTATTGTCACAAGTGCGCCGCATTCGCGATTGTTGCCCGACGCCTGTTTGCAGGTGAGCCCACTACAGTTGTTATACATATCTAAAAACCGAAAAACTTTTAGGCGAAAAAGGCACTATTCCAGGCCCATTTTTGATTTTTTTTGCGATATTAGGTAAAAACAGAAGCTTCTTATCCTAGGAAAAATAAAATGGGAAATCTTTCAAAGGTGGCACACTACCTTTAATGGATCATGAAATAATTGAATTCCAGCTGCAGTTACAAAGCAGCAGAAAAAGTAAACGACATGATAGTGGCATTGATATCAGTCTAACCAATCCTAAAATATGAGAGAAAGCCGGACTAGTGGCCTAAGTCACCGCTCCAAGGTCCTAGCAACTGAAAGAACGTTCCAAAAAGGGACCCAATCACAACGGCGCCGGACTTTCTGTATGCACTTGTTCAAACATAGCCACCGGAGCGCAGTTATTGGCTTTATCGGAAACATTCAAATAAATTCGCCGAATGCGACGAGCCGGAAACGCCACATATCCGGTCACTTTGCCAACTCGGTGAAACTCCCGTCTCCGGGCGGTTCGCGGCCAGTCGAGCGTGCGTCCTTGGGTGGCCGTAACGTCGTCGATGACCGCCGGCCAGAGTCCACTCGACGGTCCGACTGCGGTCCACCGGACCAGCCCGCACCGGACCCCGTTCAATCGAGTCATTCACTAGCCGGATCAATGGGCAATACAGAGCTCCGCGCCCCGGTCCCCCGGGAGTGCAGGGAGGGAGATGGTACGTCGAGCCCCGGCGCCGGCCGAGTGGGGTCTATCCCCGGCGTACCGGGGTACGGCGGGTATAAACAATCAGAATAAGCGGCCCATTTTACCAGATAACTCGTTTCCTCCCTAATAAGGATAGTGATTCAAGCTTAGGTCAGTATATTGTAGCTTAGTAGAAAGCTTAGGCTGAGGTCTAAATGGCGATGCTCTTATCATGTAATCTGAAGATCACGGAAAGGAAAAGAAATTATGAAAGCATCCCTTTAAGGCCTGAATATAAAGGGTCCATTAGATGATTCTTCGCTCTTTTGCGCTCTAAACATCAAAACTTATTGAGGAAAAGATTAAACCAAAGCACCAATCTATCTACGCCCACAGTCCCTGCATTTTTATTGATAGCATCAAGAGATTCTCTCTTTAAATGACCATGGACAATTTTACAAAGGAACCAACCAACCGGTTATTTTAACGGCTATTAGGTAAAAAGATCCTAGCTATTACTAAGTACCTCTACCGACGCCCTGTCTAAAAGAGGACGGTTAGCCTCCCCCGCGACACGTCATCGCGCATCCGAGCGGAAACAGCCGACATATGAGACGGAAAATTAAATAAGATTTCACTTTTTCGTTCCGCGACATTAATTCGACCCATAAAGCAGCGTCGCTCGCGCCCGGGGCCGGCGCGATCCCCGAAACTGCCCGCCCCGGGGGAAGGACAGGCGACGGAGGAAGGCGAGGGCACACACACTGACACACGGGGCAGGGCTGCGCGCGGTACTCACTTCTGCGGCTCATTCGGATCGCGTTTCTTCTTTTTGGTGGCCTTGGCCTTCTTGGGCGCCTTCAGGCTGACGGCCGGCATTGGTGCCGGCTCCGGCGAGCGTCGTTTGGTGCGGATCCACTGCGGACAGAGAGAGACACACACGGTCAGACGGACGGACGGCGGCGGGCACAGCTCGCTGGTGTACAGCACGATCAGGCTCCGGGTGTGAGCGATGGCCTCGTGGTAACGCCGCTCTGTCCTACAGCAGACAGCAAGTTGGCGGAGTGGGAGTGCCACCAGCGCTGGCACCTCGGACGACCTCACCTCTTGGCAGGCCGGTCCTCAATGGCAGGCAGGGTGTAGCTTAGCTCACTAACCACAGGCACTTCCCGTCCACTAACGTCCCACGCCGACCTTTCGCTACAACCTCCCTCTTAGCACCCACCACGCTCCACCGCCGACCACTCACTACACCCTCTTAGCACCCAGCGCCCGCCACCCTCCACAGTCCGACAACCACGCGTTCACAGTTCAACACAGGGAGCAAAGGTCTGTGCCCGCTCCCTCGTCTGTATAGACTGTATAGTATATCAAATGTCATAGCGGTACAAACAAAACCCATCGCTAACGTGTCCTTTCCAACGTTTATTCAATGAACGCAGAGTAAGAACAAAGGGCAGCATTCTGTAGTTAGTTAACGCCTGTTCACCTCGTCAGAGCATCAAAAATAGCACTGAGGAGGAATGCGGCCGGCACCGATGGCATTATTCATAATCCAGTTTGCCGAAGTGCCCACAATGGCTCACTGCTCAGTGCTAATTATAGCTTGCATTGGTCCAACACAATGGGGCCGGCCCAACACGACCCGGGTAAATGCTGGTCAGCGTATTCATCAAACCGCCCACCGAACGGCAAACCTGCTGACCATAAACAATGCCCAACAACTGGACATAGTTTTGGAGCGGCGTCAGGTCCAGTTCTGTGGCCAGTTTGACCTCAGATGGGACACAGAACCCGTCACCAGTGACCCTGCGCGCGGGGGGGCTGAATCACTCAGCCCAGGGGGTAGAACACACACGCACCGATCATCGGCCCCGTGTCAATCAATACCAAACACGTGTCGCACAGCTGACGGGGCAGCAGTCGATATATTCCATGACGTCACACACATGACATCATTCGGACTGAAGCCCGCCTGGGCCGGGACCACCAAGGGCAGATCGTAAGCAAAGAGGCGAGTGTCTTTTTGACCAACCAGTGGGGGGCCGCATTGCTCCCGCAGAGTCAGGCAAGACAAGGTGGAGGTAGCGCGCCTGGCGACATCAACCGTGCTGGGCTTTGGACAGACCGGCGTAACATTCTAACCAGGTTTGGCCCTTACACAAGATAGCCCAGCTCAAGGCCCTAGTTGCAGCAAGAGCTAAGTCTAGTCAATCTGGTCATCGCAACATGAAATCCACAACCTGAACATTGAATACGATCCGTCCTTTGACCCCACAGCCAAATGACAAATCCCAGCCGGCGCAATCCGGCCCAGTTTACACAGGATATACGCGGGCGTCACAAAAGGACACAATACGCCGCATTCAGCCCCGATTATGAAGCCGTGTGTGCTCGCGAGGCGTCAGTGATTAGCACGGTCGCGTGCGCCGCGACCGCCCGTTTACCCGTAAGGCGGATATCCGCGATCACTTCCTTTCCGAGTCAACACAGGGTGGCGTGGCAACGGTGCTTTGATAGCCCGCCGGCAAACTAAGCGCTCCGAGTGTACGGAGTGTGCCCGAGGAGCGTACCGCCACACCGACAACAAATCTGCGCAGACGCCAAAGGCAAATGTTGACCGGACGAGCGAGGCGGTCGAACATCGTCTAGATTAACATGGACATGTGGACTTGTCCTGTGAATAGTTTCGATCGCTTGCATGTCGATCGCCTGTATGTCAAACTACTACATCTCTCCAACACCCACTATTGCCGATGATGATTGCTTTTATAATCAATCATTTAACGGAATGAAAAACGGCGACCGCGCCCCATACAAGATAACGAGATAAACTATTGGGTCCGACATAATTTATGAGAACCTTTCCCGATCAAATTGTCTGGTAATTTCGGACAGACACAAAAATTGTTCTTTGTTCCACTTTGGGAACAGCTGTCGATGCCACCACCTTGTGTTGATTTAGAGCCGGTGTGACGGCCCGCCCCGCCCATCGGGTCCGTACAGTCCCGCCCCACCCCCATCTACGGGTCCGTACTCCCGCCCCGCCCCGCCACGCAGGTGTGACTGAGTCAACCGAGCGAGACAGGGTGAAGAGGGTAAAGGGCTCGGCCCGGCAACCGGCCACGGGTCTGACATGCCGAACTGTCATAGAGACCGTCAGGGACGCGGCAACTGTCACACTGACAGACTGTCACAGAAACTGTCACAGTCACCGAACGGCTGTGACAGCTGTGACCGTCAGTGAATGTGACGCGCAGCTGTCACTCTGACAGTCACACGACTGTCACAGTCACCAAGCGGCTGTGACAGCTGTGACGGCCACGGTGACGGTGACATATGAATCAGACGAATCAATTGTGAAGGTTGATACCAATCCACGACATCGGCCATTTGCGGCAACGGTCATACCGCCCAACAAAAGCCATTTACATCATATCAATAACAAAGGTCATCGGCGTCCCTCAGAGAAAGTCGTTGGAATTTCCGCCTTTGAAACTAAATGACAATCATTAATATTTTAGGTCTTAAATGAACAGTGTTGAAAGGTGAATACCAGCCCGGTACATATAAAGCAAAGATGAAAAGAAAGGTAAAATGCATGGAATGAACTCAAGCATGTTTTACAAATGACGCATTTAAAAGTAAAATGAAACAGGTATGCTCTTACATAAGTGTGTACAAGTGAAACGGCCCGTTGGCATGTCAGTATGCAATATTCAGCGACCCCAGTGTCGGGTGAAGCATAGCAAGCACCGGTAGATCGATCGAGAATCGAATAAATCAAAGCCAACGTAAAAGGCACTCGGCCACCAATCGCAGCTACACGATCATTATATGGAAATGAGCCTGAACGAAACAAGGCAAGTATGATGATTTGGCCTATTCAATCGCCGTATTAATTCATACCCATTAAAATAAACACTAGTCCGATATGGCTCCTGAATGCTGATGTACATTTACCGACCACAAAACATCCGACTTCCGAAGAAACCGAGCTTGTAAACGGCCGCTGCACTGTTGTAGCTCAACATAATAGCACTGAGCCGCGGCCCTGGATGCAAATGTCCCGGTGCACGAACAAACAACGGAGGCCATTGCGTCAGCGCAACATGCCTCGGCAAGTGGAGGACACGTCCCGTCGTCGAGCGGCCGCCGACCGGGCCCGGCCGCCGACGCGACTGTCCTGTAAGCTCTAACACGAGGACGATCCTGCCGTTCGTCACGTTCGCCAGCTCATAGGTCGGACATTATGGCAACAGGATCTCAGGGTTTACCTGGTTCAACAAACCGCTGTGATCATCGCACGGAGTTTGTAGAAATATATACTTAAGGTGTCTATCATGTCTTTCAATGGATGCTTCGTCATGCAAGAGCTCTGTAGATTGGAACAAAGGAGACCCATCTTCGTAACTGGAAAGCGGTCTGCGATGTTTCAACTTACACGACATGCAAAGTAAAACCACAAGAACAAACGAGAAAGGGTGCAAAGAGGGTACAAGAGTGCACCGGAGAGAACACGGGTGCACGGGCTAAGTTGCACATTCGTGCACTGGTCGGACAGTGGGGACATTGGTGAGCGGTGTGCAGCGCATACCAAGCAGCTTTCGCTGTGGAGCGCTCAGCGACAGGGTCCACTCAGCCGGTATTGGCCGAGAAACAGAGCCAGTGAGACAGACACGTGGCAGAGTACCGAGAAAGAGCAGAAACGGGGCAGCGGGCAGACCGGTGGAAGGGGAGGGGTCAGTTCCTCCTCACCCTCCGCCCCTGAAGAGATCAGTACCAGGTCAGTGTGGAGTCAGAGATCCCGTATCAGTCAGCGATCAGAGCGATCGAGTTGCAAGAGGAGCGAACAGAGGTCTTCAGATGAAAGACCATAGCATCAGTGCCCGCTTCACAGCAGATGATTTCTTTCCCGGAACGCGCCCACGGGGTCTACAGTGAACAGAAGACGTCACCAAATCGCCGCCGATCGCTCGCCCAGTCGGGCGAAATGTGCCGGTCACGGCAGTGACTAGTGAGGTCCGGCGCTCGTGGAATGTGATGATGCGCCGCTGTCCGCTCTTCACACCAGCCCATCACAGGAGAGGAGCTGCCATCTCAGCAGCCAAATGGAATGGACAGCAGGCTCTAATCACCATTCACTGCACGGTAGACAAACACTTCAGCCAACAGCCTTAACACTATTTGCCGAGACGAGAGTCATTGGGCAGCGTTAAACGCCCGAGGATAAGGACGTTTCATCATCCACCGTTCAGCGATCCAAGGACTTGGTGTGTTCTGCCAGCTTACTATCGCGTTACATCGTTTTGCAAAACAGCACCCTAATTCAGGCCCGTTTGTTCGACCGTGTACCCACGCAAGAACGACACCAAACCGTTCTGCATTTCAACATTTCCGTCAATAAAGTAGCTCGCTCGCTGAGCGGACCGACATCGGATAGCCTGCGATCACGGAAACACGCCAGCTCCGGCCACTGAAACGGCTCTGTGGCACAGCAGCATTGATTTCGGACGGTGAACGGGGGCCCTCAGCCGAAAGTGCGTCACAGACCAGCGCCGACGAATGGCGGCGCACTGCGCATGCGCGCACAGAATGTGGACACGCATGCAAACGCACGCGACACAGCCGAACACGAGGTGGACAGGAGGTGAAAGTGGCTGAGCAATGGGAAACAGTGACAGTGAGGGCTGGTGGGAGCGATGGGCAGAGCAGCGAGGGCAAGTGAGATGGATTGGAGAGGGAGAGACCAGACCAAAGGGAGGGAGATGCCCCGATAAGCAGCTGAAGGGAAGGGGTGACATGAATGGAGGGGAGCATAACAGATGATGCAGCACTTTGAGCTCTACATCTGAAATGACACCAGACTGCGTAAAAAGATCAAAGCTTGGCTTGATGTAGATGTCTTGCATATTGGTGAGGGCGTGACAATTAATAAAAGTAAAAGCTGAAACACTTAACAGCGTAAAAGCATGAAAGGAAGAGGAAAAAGTAAATGAAAGAGAAGAGAAAGAGAAAGAGAAAAAGAGAGGGAGAGAGAGAGAGGGAGCAAGAGAGGAGAAGGGAGAGAGGCATCATACGAAACCCATCTTCCGCATCAGCCGCGGTCCGTTTTTCTCTTTCCCCGACTCAATGGTCTCATCAGCCCACCGAACGAGGGAGGTGTCGTACAGGGATTCGTCGTGTGCGTCACACTGACATTCACCGTGTCCTCGACACTGTGGACCCCCTCCCCCGCAACACACCTCCCCCGCCTCCCCAGATCTGGCAGCACGCCGCGGAGAGTTGGCAGCCCACCAGTCGCCTCCCGCTGCAGAGTAGCTCGCTCAATAGACGAAAATGGCGCCCTTTCGACAACGATTACGTCGGCGATATAGCTCGTCATAACTGAAAGGCCTCTGATCCAGCGCTTGTTCAACTTGGCGGCAGAGTGGGCTGTTTCAGTGTGTTTGAGCGAATCGGCGCCGGCGGCGCGGCTGCAGGGGTGTGTGGCCGGCCGGCGGCCGCTGCAGGGGACACCGACCCACCTGCGCCAGAGGAGCCGAGTCGTCGCTGCTGTCCTCGCTGGTGGTGTGGCCCGGGGAGTTGGTCACCTGGCCCGGGGAGCCGCTCTGCGGCGGGCCCATCAGGCCGTGCGCGCCGCCCTGAAACACGACCGGCACCCGTCAGTCACAGGTCGACACGGGGCGCGCGCCGCGTCACGCCGCGTGACGGGTCACTCGCCGTGACGACCCGCGCGCGGCGCGAACGGTACTGGGTACTGGGTGGGGCAGCGGGCCGCGACAGGTGCACGTGGGCTCACCCCTTCACCACCGCGTGGTGCACCGCAGTGCAGAGTGCAGTACGGTGCAATAACCCGGGGTTGTTTCACTAACAGATAATGTTCAAACGAAAACAACACATGTCGCCATACTAACAACACTGCAGCTGAGCCAGCTCGGTAAATGTCAAAGGCTAATAAAATGCAGGACTTCACTTTCAACATTGGATCTTTATTGCCGTGTTCAAGTGATAACTATCCATGTGTCAGAGGTCAGAGACACGGCGTCGTTTGTTTACAAAGAAGTCCTAACCTTTGACCAGTTCTTGCAAAGCCGATGCAACTCTAGCTATCATCCATGCTGCAGTAATCGGATATATTATAAAAAAACTGGACAACCATTCATATTTAACAGCGTTAGTCATTGCTTTGGCGAAGAGTTGTGAGCTGTTGCTGCTTGGAGCTATCCGCTAACACGGTATACATGGCTTTGGCTGACATCCATTTATGGGAAAACCGCAAAACATCCTAGAGAGAGAGATGTCCCTGAGGCCTGAACGAATGAAGGACAGACACGGAGCGCCGTCTCCATAGCACGCCTCATGTAACAAATCCCCACTATTAACATCTAATCCGCTTAACTAATGCCAAACCTCGATTGAGCCGCGTTTCTCCAGAAAACCATTGCGCAATGAATAGTAAATGGAGAGTGATCCAGCCGAAGTGCCAGCTGATTCAACACGAGCTTGCAGTGAGTCATTAGGGACTGTCTGTTAAATGATTAGAGGACAGGTAAGAGATGGCCGGCCGTTCGGCCGGACCGCCGCTCACCTGGTACAGAGGCTGACGCATCTGCTGCGCCATCATGTCGTGCTGCTGCTGCTGCGAACGCTGCTGCTGCTGCTGCTGCTGCTGCATGTACATCCCCGGGTGCTGCTGCTGCTGCGGCTGCTGAAACTGCTGCTGCTGCTGCGGAGACGCCTGCTGCGGCGCTCCCTGGTGGTACATGTCCCTGTGGAGAGGTCAGAGGGTCATACATGTGTCCCTGTGGGCGTGCCAGAGGATCATGAGGTGTCCCTGTGGGTAAGTAACACCACTAGAGTCCTCAGGGCAGCGCACAATTCAACACACTGACACAACAGCAGTCTCCCACTCAAGCGACCAACTAACATCCTAAACTATTGGCTGTCACACAATTCAGCGATTTCGCCCACATCTGCGGTCAGTACACCGACACAGGAGTCCGTCCCTTCCTGCACATCTGTAGCCATCGCCCACGGCCCCGTCCTGCCCGGGGCACAGTCACAGCGCTCCCGATCTGACGCGCCGCGTACTACGCCACACTCACTACACTAACGACCGGAGCCGTTACCGCCGACCGTAAATAATTGGGCCGATTATTATTATAGAGGCCCGACCATCAGCAGGTCGTTCAATCAAGGAGCGCGGTTTGTAACGGGCGAACAAACAAAACAGAACACCACGGGACATCGGTGAGCGTCTATAGTGGACATCCGCGACAGAACGTCGGCGGAGCATCCGCGGATGGCTCAGGCCCGGGTGACCTACGCCCGGGTGGCCTACGCCCGGCTGACCTACGCCCGAATTGCCTACTCCATCGAATGTCTACGCCCGGGTGACCTACGCCCGGCTGACCTACGCCCGAATCGCCTACTTCATCGAATGTCTACGCCCGGGTGACCTACGCCCGGCTGACCTACGCCCGAATCGCCTACTCCATCGAATGTCTACGCCCGGGTGACCTACGCCCGGCTAACCTACGCCCGAATCGCCTACTCCATCGAATGTCTACGCCCGGCTGACCTACGCCCGGCTGACCTACGCCCGAATCGCCTACTCCATCGAATGTCTACGCCCGGCTGACCTACGCCCGGCTGACCTACGCCCGAATAGCCTACTCCATCGAATGTCTACGCCCGGCTGACCTACGCCCGGCTAACCTACGCCCGAATCGCCTACTCCATCGAATGTCTACGCCCGGCTGACCTACGCCCGGCTGACCTACTCCATCGAATGTCTACTGCTCCCCTCCTGTCCGATTAAAGAGTGAAGATTTCGCATACCAAAGTAACCCTTCCGGGGGAACCGGCACCCGCAAGTCAGGTAACAATGGGAAGGGTCGGAGGGACCGACCGCCGCGCCGCATGGTGACAGGTGATTCCCGGGACGTCCGAGCGTCGCCTTTCAGACGCATCGCCGCCTCCCCCCCCCCCGCCGCGCCGTGCCGCGCCGCACAAAGCAGACGGACCCTGTCGCGGAGCGAACTACCCGACCAGGCTGTCATCATCGGCGGAGAGCCTGAACTGCTTTTTTTTTAATCGTTGAGCTGATCAAGCTTGAGTAGCCATGCTTGCGTATTTCACGCTTCAGCCCTGCTGTGAGCCATGTTTTATGATTTCTCATTTCAGATCTTAACAATGATCTTAGGTAGGAAGAACCGTGAGAAACGCCCCTCCCCCTTAGCCCTCGCCGGTATAAGGGGGGGGGGGTCGAACAGCCCCCTCTCGGTTTTCGATAATAACTCGTGTAAAAACTCGCTGATCGCGACGGAACTTTCATTACCATCGCGTTCATCAATTTTACACCTACCCTAACAATTTCATGACCCTGACGCAAATGACCTTTGACCTGTGACCTACTTTTCGAGACCATGTTTGGCCGGAATCGCGATTCGGCGTATATGTCGTCTCCTCTTAGCCGCGCGTTTGCACTCTTTTCGTGGTTTCAAGCGTTCAAACATGTGATATGATATTGCTCCTATGCGTTAGGGTGGGTGTCCAGTTCACTTGAAGCTCAGGACAGGTCACTGACCTTAAATAAGCTCGGTTAACTTTTACATGTTTCTAGGCTAGTTTTTTTAGCTTAATTCGAATTTAGCAACCATATGAGCATTTACGAAGTAGTTTTGGTGCCATCGTAACATGTTACGAAGCTGTCAGAGGCGGTTGACACCTACTACGAATACCCGGCAAAACCACTACTGGTTGACCTGAACTGACCTGACCCGACCTGGCCTAAAAGCATGAAGACATCATCTGTGATAAAAACTAACATGATATTCGTGATCAGAACCCCGAATAACCTCGTAGCAGCCACACTTTACGACCCAACTGGTCTCGATTTTCCCGACTTTTGGGCCAATGACCTGGCTTGAAAGGTCAACCAATGACCTAGGACCTTAAAATTGGGTATCATCGGCTTCCTCTTGTCACGGGAAACACGCTCGTTTTTTCGCGAAGCTCTAGCTCGATCAGGGGTGAGACGGCAAGGGGGGTCCAACGGACTTCCCCCGCCCTTATACGTTTGCGGCTGTCAAAACACCAATACTGGCGAGGGGAAGTGTGTCACCGCTAGACTAGTTATTTGACCATATACTATTAGGTATTTATCTATATTTATTTATTTACGATCTCAAGCCTCCACGTGGTAGGTTTTAAAGCTTACGTCATTGCACAGTATGTCTTAAAAGTACCACGCAAAGTAACAGTGGATCCATCAAGCCTGACCGAGGAAGGACTGCTAGTCACCGAAACAATGGATATCCTCGTCCATTCCCCAAACCCCAGGTCAATTGGTTCGGTGACTTTCAAATTATAGCAGGCCCTTCCTCGGTCAGGGTTGATGGATCCACCGTCACTTTGCGCGGTACTTTTAACCCTCGCCCTGGCAGGGCATTTTTCATAACACGGCCTGGCAGGGCGGGGGGGGGGGGGTCGATGCGACCCCCCTCGCGATTGGCTCCTATGGCACCTAGAAACACCAAATTTGGTAGGTAGGTGGGCCCCCTGGATTTCTCACCCCTGTGCAAATTTGGCTGCTCTAGGTCAATATTTAGGGAGTTTTTGGGGGATATAAATGTAAAAATTTCGCTAAAATAGGTCAAATGTTTTTCGCTTATAACTTTTGATCAAAGATAGAGCAAAAAGAAAAGCAGACTGTACATACATTGGAGTGTTATGCATACATACATAGGTACAAACCATGGTCACAAGTTCATCGGTGCAAAACTCACAGCCTATATAACGCACTATGCCATATACTATTTTAAAGACCTTATCTTTCAACCATTCAACAAAATAATGCATAAAGCACTGGTATGCTGCATTCCAGCGTGATTGAGCTTTTCCAAGGCATTTCAAAACGGGGTGTTTTATCCAGAATTGGAGGATCAAAAGCATGCGATTGCATGTAGGATTACGGGTATGGTAAGACGCTATACTTTGGTTGTCACCTGATTATGAGTTTCGTTTGCATAGAAAATGCATTTAATGTTCCGTTTTCGTATGAGTGTCAGTAACGTGGCCTTCGGATAATAGATTTAGACGAAGAACCGTTTCAAAAACAAACAATACTTAAGCGTTTGCAAGCAAGGTTGCCTAGCGCAATATATAGCCCCACTGCAAAAGGAATGTTTTAAACATTTTCCTCATCTATTTGCCCAATTAGCAACAATGCATCGCAATATAGCCACTTCTGGATTGTAAAGCATTTTAGCATGTAAAATGGTAGGCATATGGATGTCTTCGGAGCCAGGTGTCAGGGCGTTTTGTGAATTATATACAGTGATTGTTTGTAGCGCGATCACTGAGAAAAAAAAATTGACTCCATATGGGTCAAAACTCTTGAAAATGCTCCCATGAAAAACCTTTGCCGAACGTTCCGACAGGAGTAAAAAGGGAGTTACGAAGGGGTTTTAGCATACGTCGCGAGGCTGCCGGTGGCCGCCATCTTTTGCGCGTAGTACACAGCACGTTGTGCGGGGCGGCGGGCGAGGTGTTAGTGAAGAGCGTGTTGACTTAGACGGACCTGACCTATACAGTGACGGATAATTGGAACTTACTTTGGATTTAAAGGTAAGCTTAGCTGTATTTCTCATCATGCTTTTATCGTGCCAAGTGTTATAATGCTGTGATGAGAACATATGGTAACCCCATGTTCTTGATGGGCTGGAATGGTCTCTGTAAGGGTAATTGATTTGTTTTGTTCCTCTGAGTGAGATAAAGATCGGAAACAGCATGCTCTGAGTTTCTAGGTATTGGCAAATATCATACATTATTTCCCTCGAATAAATTGGAAAGTTAGGATTACACAAGCTTTACACGTCATGGATCCTATTGTTATTGCCCAATTATTTTAATATCCATACCAATGAAAAGTATCAGATTTGAAGGGCTTTCAAAGCAGAGCCAGAAAATTAAACTATCTTGGCATTAAAACCTTGATTTTTCTAGCCTGATGAAATCCTCAGGGCTCAGGGCCAGTCTTTTCAGCATGAGGACTAGGCAGGTTGAGTGAGCCCCAATAGAGCCGTTACGAAGCCCGCAGGAGTCGCGCGCGGCCCTCAGATGCCAATTTTGAAAGCCAGGAACCTTTGGTCTCCAGAGATCGGTGTATGTACCTACTCTCTCCCGCCGCCACACAACTATATGGGTAAATGTCATATTGTCATAGTCTGAAAATGCTCTCTGGGTTTCACATGGTTGTTCATAGCAAGAAGTAGGTATCTGTACTTTTCCGAACTGTTTTATAGTGGTAAGGTCATAAATCCGCGTGCCCGACCTTCCAGCATATGCTACACCGATCCGTCGCCATGGTGCAGTGGCCCGACCGGTGGAAACACCGTGGGGCGGGAAATGGAACTGGTGATTTTGCCTTAAATTGTGCTTAAAGATTCCACGCAAGAATGACATGGATGAAGCATAATTAGTGCCAACTGCGCGGCGCCTCGTGGACGTAAAAATTAGCCGATCACCTCCCCCCTCCGGTGACGGATAAATGTTATGTCCCGCGAGTGTGAACCTAACCTAACCTAACCTAACCTAACCTAACCCCCCTTTTGCTAGCGGCTGCGACCGCCAGTGCACCTACTGTTGGCGTTTTGCGGCCGCTAGCATAAATTATATACCTACCCAAAAATAACTGAAATTCAAACGCAGTTTATGGCGCACCATTCAAGAGGTAAATGTTCTACATACACATATCACAAACGAA